TTCTATGTCTTAACAGTCTATTACTAATAAAGCAACCACATAATAGTTTAAACATGTTATAACGAAGCAGCCTGTTATTTTGTCACAGCCTAGTATTTTGGAACAGATGGTATTTTGTCACAGGCTAGTATTTTGGAACAGGTGATATTTTGTCACAGGCTAGTATTTTGGAACAGATGGTATTTTAACACAGGCTAGTATTTAGGAACAGATGAAACAGGTTAGTATTTTTGAACAAATTTGTATTTAAAAATAGGCAAGAATTTTGTGATAGCCTTGCCTACTATTTTGCAGGTTAAGTTTATTTGCTGGAATGTCGAGTACGTGGTGACCTGTCCCCCTGCCCCTTTGATCCTCGGGGATATGGGGGGGGGTTGCTTATAATTGCTTTTCCTTGTTTTAATTTTTTTTTCTTTGATGCAAAAAGTAGAAGCATTTAAATATTTTTCCTAATTTAGATATTGATACATATTTCTTGCATGTAAAATGGAAAAAAAATTCACAAAAATTTCTACAATATACGAGTTTTATTGTTTCATTTCTTCTCTCCTCGGTCTTATTCTCTCTCTCTTTCGCATTTTTTTTTCTTTCTTTTTTTAAGGCAATAAATATTTTTACTTTTTATTCCCTTATAAGAAGGGGGTGTTAAATTTGTTAAAACTATATTTAGTATGCAAATTTAAGCTATATTGAAATACTTTATTTTCTTTGTTTCTATGTATATTATCAAACACTATATTTTTTCTCTCAATCTTTATCCTTTTTTACTTCTTCTACTGTAAAATGTTGAACTTCTGAAGAAGCATGAAGGGTAGTGCAATAGTAAAGAGAAGATGAAGGGTAGTAGAATAATATGAAAATATTTTTTTTTCATGAAAAAAGGAGAAACAATTCCTAACTTTCAGCCAAAGGAAGCATACAGTTGTCGATTAAGGACTCTAAGACTAATTACATTGCTATTATTTTTATTAGGAAATTAATCTAATGCAGTAGTCCCCAACCTTTTTGTACCTAAGAGCAAATACCAGAATATTGGTCGAATGGCGGGCACCATTTATTTTTTCAAGATAAATTTATAGTTGGTAGACATAGGTAATATTACACACTACATATAGTGCACAAAAAAATTAATTTTAAAAATTAATTTAACATATGAATATAATTAGTATTAATTTTCTTGTGTAAAATAAATAATTACTAAATTGCCTTCAAAACATATGAAATATAAAAATTATTTATAAAATACAGTCAATGTGGTGTTAGGCATGGCATTTCGCTGGCCAGCGCTAGATAATTGGGAGAATATAATGCTATTTTTAAGAATGGAATTTATTCCTTCAATCATATTCCAGAATTTCTATCTTCGATTCTTCTCGCTTTACTCGAAGAAATTCTGAAACGTATGTTGCTATTACGGTAACGTTTATTTGGTTGGTAAAAGGATTAACAAAAAAGTTATCAAAGGCTCGATGATATTAAATTGTTGAAAGAGCTTTTTAAATTGATCTTTAAACAATTGGAGGTTGATGACAAATGTTAATAAGTCAATTTCACTGTCACCTAACATTTTTTTCATGTTTGGAAAATGCACAAGAGACTTCATTTTCAAATGTGATATCCACAAAACTAGCTTAGCTCTGAACGAGTTTATAGCCTTTATCATTTTTGCTTTATGTTTGTCTTTTTCCTGCAGCTCCAAGTTTAAATTATTTAGTTTTTTCCATTATGTCCATTATGAAAGACAAATCTGCTAGCCAAAGAGGATCTCTCAGTTCCAAAAATGTTTGATTTTTGGCTGCAAGATTATTTTTTATTTCTCCAATTAAATGTAGAAATCTATCAAGTACTTTGCCATTACTGAACCAGAGTACCTCAATATGTATTTGCATAGCATAAAATTTGCATAGCATTTATTGGGAAAATGGAGAACTGAAATATTTTATCGTTGGGCACAAGCAGCGGGTGCACATAGATCGATCGACGGGCGCCATGGTGCCCGCGGGCATAGGGTTGGGGACCCCTGCCTAAAGTATAGAAAAACACATTGAAAAAGTACCATTAGATTCTAATGGTTGTTTGGCAAAAGCAAAATATTTTGTGATTGTGATTTAATAATGAAGTTTAGTTATAAAGTTTTAGGGGTCATTAAATTTATGTATTTCATACATTTATGTTGAAATTTATAAATTTTGTTTAATATATATAAATAATATTTTGTTTGAAATAGTGAATTGCTCAGCATAGACTAACTACGGCCTAAATTTGCATAAAAATGGTCCAATTTTTTTATTGTCTCTTTTTCCGACTACTGTATTTACTGCATTAATTACAATCGTCTTTTGGGGGACATCTAATCAAGTAGTTTACTTCGAGAATCCCGATACCTCTTTACGCCATTGGCCCCCCAACTTTCGGCCCACATCTCTAGCTTTCGCCGCTATTGGTGCCTTTTTCTTTTTCGATTTTTCTTTTTGATCGACAGAGGCCGGCTGGGCTTCACATTTGGAGCAGACTGTAAATGTCTTTCTTCTTTCGAAGTACGAGACACTATTCGTGTGTCCACTTGCCAATCTGGAAATTGCTGTTTGATACGCTGTATCACCTATATGAACAAGTGAAGAGCCCGGTTCCTTGGCCGCATACCAATGATGAGAGAGGGGGATCCTCCACTTTTTTGATTGATGGCTTTTGATTTTGGACTGATTCTCTGAGTAGGTAAGGGCTGAGGACGAAGGTGTTGAATGACTACAGACCTCCTTGGCCAAGCGATCCACTTGCTCATTGCCAAATATGTCAACGTGGGATGGTATCCACTGAAGATGAACGTCGTGGTTGAAATAAGTTGAAGTTTAAGAAGGATGGAGATACTTGTTTTGTCTCCAACTTTAGTCCAATTTTGTAGGTGTTGAAGGGAACTGCGACTGTCCGACAGGATCCAAAGATCTCCAAAATCACTCTCGTTGATAATAGCATCGATGCCTTGTTCAATTGCGATTAATTCACTTCTAAAGACTGAAGTGAAATCAGGATTACGGAGACAGATGGAGTAATTTTGCCCAGATTTTTCAATGAAGACGCCGCTACCAGCTAGGTCTCTCAGTCCACTACCGTCTGTGTAAATTTTTACGGCGTCACTGGGAATCTCGCCTAAAATTTCCAAGGCTGGCTACCTAAGTTCAGCTGGAATCTGAATTTATTGAATATATGAATTATTATCGTAAATGAATTTATACTTCGAGAATACAGGTACCTCTTTACGCCATTGGCCCCCCAACTTTCGGCCCATATCTCTAGCTTTCGCCGCTATTGGTGCCGCTTCCTTTTTCGAATGTGACCTTCGAATCGACTGTCTCAATATTTTTACGCGAAGGCGCGTCCTTTATTTCCCTCGTAGTCATTTGTAGCAGTAATTCAAACAATGTTCTATGTGAGGAATGATTTATCATTGCGTTGAATTTCGTAAACTCGTATAGAAATAGATGTCTCTTTGGCCATGCCTATTATTTTGTTGTTTAAAAGATTAATTTATTTTGAATTTTTGAAGAAAATAAATAAATATTTTTAAATGATAATATTCTGCAGGAAAGGAAAAAATCTATTACAGTTTATTTGGCGAATCTCTTTTTTTTTTCAATTGTTTTGAATTTCCTTTGATATTAAAATTACCATTAAGGCTACATAGTATGTGATATTTTGAAATTAATGTGCTAATTGTTTTGAAAGAAAAATATTATTTAAATAATCCAAGAAAAGTTTAGAACGGTTAAAAAGGCTACTTTCTTTAAAAATTATGCTAAATACGTATACTGATGTTTATTTTGAATATTTATTTTTAAAAAAAATTTAAAACTCTGGGATTATGCTCTATTTATATTTAATTTGTTAAATGTTTTAGCTGGTGCAAATTGGTGTAGCTCAATCAATTACATTTAGTATAAATTTTATTTTTTTTTGTTGTTATTCGAACTATTTAAAAAGTTGCGACGAGGTTGCGATGCATGCAATTAGACTATTCTTAGGTATGAAATATTTAATATCATTTTTGTCAACTTAAAATTCTAGAGGACAACTAAGCGCTATTTCTTTTCTTTTTGTCAAATGAAAAAAATGTTGGTTATTCTGTCACATATGGAGAATATAATGTGCAATTCCTAAATTGTTTTTATTTAAAAATAATAATACACTGTGTTGTATTTTAAATTCAGAGATTATTTTTTTTTTAATTTCTAATTTATCTCAATATTTATGAAGTTTCATTTTTTCCCTCTTGTAGAAAGGAAAGGATTCTGGTTATATCGTCAAACAGAATGCAATAAGGAACTCCTGAATTCTTTTTATTTAGAAACAATGTACATTGTAATATTCAAAACTTTTCTAATTCTTTCAGCTTTCTAAATGTTTTATGCTTGTTAAACAGAGGAAAATTTTGTAAAATAATTTTTTCTGCGTCACTCATTTCTCCTAGAAGTGCATTAAAAAGAACTATATTTTGAAACAAAAATTATTTTTTCTATTATTATTCATTATATTTGATTACACAAACGAAAATGCTTTTGAAGTGTTTTCAACCATTTTGAACTACCCGATCTAAAGTATAATCACAAAAAGAAAAAAATATGTATACATAAAAAAGGACGAAATATAGTTTTTTCACGAGCCTAAACAATAGAGAATAAAATAGGAATTAATATTTAACTGCTTTCTTTTTGTTTTAAAAAGAACTAGAAAAAAAACTTCGCGATACTTTTTTTTCTCTTAGAAAGAAAAAATACTTTTCCTAACAACTTTGTCAAATTAATAGAAAAATATGTAAATGCTACAAAAATATTTGCCATTCTAAACTATCTTTCAAATATAAAAAAGTTTAATTTTTTTTCTTTAGACCTGTTATTTTGGAACAGGTATTATTTTGTATCGCAACAGTTGGAACCTGCTATTTGAAAATACCTGTTATTGCCCATCACTACTTCCGAAGTTACTCCCCACTTTTTTTTAATATAATCTTTTCCTTTTTCAACTTGGCTATTGTTTGGCTGTGAAGTTCTATTTATTGTAATCGTCTGGCGAATTTTTCAGCTCTTCTCAAAGAGATAGGCGATAAGAATAAAAATTTCAGTTTCACTTCTAATAGATATTCTTCCATCTTTAAATTATGTTATTACTTATTTAGAGCAGTGAAAATCTACTTCATGTCTAGTTACTGACGAAATCTTCCTCATAAGTAAGTGATTTTTTTTTCTTTATCACTTGTTTCTTGACATTAGTTCTTTTTCCTTAATTTTTGAATTAAATTCTTATAAGAATTTTTTATGTAACAGCGAACTTCAAAAAATTGTTTGCTATTTTTAATGTGCTTTCTACTTGTATAACTTTGTTCACAAATAAATTAATTCTTGAAACTTATAATGTTTAGTTTTGAAGCACTAAACATATTCTAACTTTTTTTAATCTATTCACGACAGTTATCAATTAGATGTTTTGTAAGTCATAAGAACTTCAATTTATTAATATAGCTATGGTATAATAATTTGTTTTTTTCCCCCTTTGAAGCTGCTTGTTCACAAAATGAGAAAAAATTTTTTGCTGTCGATGTTTTCTCATCTTCTCAGAGTTTTTTTTTGTGGTGTAAATTTTGTGTTAATTTAATGATTATTTTTTTTTCCTTTTCATTCACGCAACTTGTTTCATTTGAAATACATTTGATAAACACACTGTTTAAGTTTTAAAAAATTTAGTAGCAAAAAAGAAATATTTCTAGCTTTGTTCAATTGCTTTATAGTTATAAGAGCACATATAACTAAACACTTGATTATATTACACGTGATTATCATTGTTACGTGTGACCAAATTTTTACTAAACAAGATACTTAAATAAAAATACAAATTAGCTCATAGAATTATTTATTAAAAAGTAAAATTGATCTATTTTTATCTAAAATGTTAAAAATATCTATAATTTTATTAATAATATAAATCTTATTGCATTTACTAAAATTTGATTATATAACTACACATGTAAACACATTTATTAAATTAGAAAAATTTAAGAAAAGAGTTATAAAATCCTCAAATTAGCACACAGAATTTTTTAATTAATAGTAATAAAAATTACCAATTTAATCCATATTTTTTTTAAAAAAAAAACGCTCCAGTGAAATATTCCTATTCCTTTCGGGATAGAGTGCTCTCCTCCCAATGAGGTGATCCGCCATCGAATCGCTAGTCAATTCGAATTCCGTACCCAGCTCGAAAAGATCACATTGTTGACGTAAAATATGATCAGTGGTTTATGGATCATGTGTTAGAGTTTCCTTGCCGGTCGGCTAATCGTGGGAGGTTTTCGTGGTTTTACTCTCCAAATGCGGGTTAGTTTCATCAAAAAATTCTTCATCTAGGCAATTTTCTCACGATACTTGATGCAGGAGTGCATTTGTCTTCTGGATCGGGTTCAAAATTACAAGGCTACGGAGTTGAACATTGGTAGCTGTAAATTCAAAATTGGGAACGCTGCTCAAAGACGGTTATAAAATAAAATAGTGAAATAAAAACAAAGAAAATAATGGTAGGGTTTTTTAAGGCTTTCTAATAAACCTTCCTTTCTGATCCATTGCCTGCCACACAAGTGATTCAGAGTTATTGCGAGTGATTACAACACCCTTAGCTGGTCAGGCAGAAATTCGTGATATGGAGAGGAAAACAGCAAAGACCTGCCACGACTGACGGCAAGGGGACTCTAACTATTGATCCATCTACCACTAAGGTTATTTTACATCGGCACTGTCGTCGATGTGAGCCTGGTACGGAATTCGACCAGCCATCGCTGGAATTCGAACCCAGAAAACCTCAATGGGAGGTGAGCATTGGGTTGGATCCTGAGCCACCGCTTCGGATATTTATGTGTTTTTAACTAGCTTTGTATGAATTGTGGTACTCTTTCCAAAACAAAGTTCTAAAATTGTGTAGTATATGCAGGCCCCGTGCTAAGCATTCGTCGCCTCACCAAATGCAATAAAATCATACTCCATCGCCATAAAATCGTACCATGAAAAATGGAAAGAAAGAAACAAAAGCTCATAGGGAATAAGAATTGGGAGCATTGTTAAAATAGTGTCATATTAAGCATTGTAGAACAATATGTGACCATTTTAAGAACTTATGTTCTAAAAATTTTTGTTAGGGTTGAAAATTTCTTGATATTCCCAAGTGGCCATAATGGGGTTTTTTTTGTTATAAAATAGTAAACAAAAATAAATTATGCTTTTTATATAATTTATCTTTATATGCAGTAAGTATAATTTGTAAAGACGAATTTCGAATATCCTTTTGTGATGAAATATTTTTTCCACCCATTTTTTGAGGGGGTTCCCTTGTCTACAAAGAATATCATATTAATGCCGATTCTCTTGTTTAAGACATCAGTTTTTTTCCTCCTTCAGTTTCATTCTCCTTGAGAAAATACGCTACCTTGATTTCCACTTACAGCCACCGCCGTTCCCCTTGACAACTGCGGGTTTTTCTGTTCATTCTCTCATTTTATAGTTTTGTTTCCATCATGCATTCACAAATTGGTTAATCTTGATACTGAGCATCTGTTTCGGGTTGTGTAAACAAAACGATTTTTTTTTTACCTTTAATTGTTGAAGCTAATAAATTTTTTTCATTGCTATTAATAATTATAGAACATTTTGTATATCAATCACATTTCATATGATGGTTGTGTAAGTATTTTTTATATCAACCAAATTCCATAAACAAACACACAGATAGTTAAAAAAATTTCTATAGTTGCACACAAAATGTTCTATAATTATTAATAACGAACCTCAATGTATATTTTTTGAATTTTTGTCAAAAAAAGAAGTCAAAAAGGTAAACACTGGTCACAAAATTATGCATATATTATATTCGAAATTTAACATGTATGCGTGGTAGAACGTAGAAACTAATGTATAGATGACTATTAGCCACTCTCCCAAGCGTCAAAGGTTATTAAACTGGTTTTGTTACTATGAAAGTAAAAATCTCAAGAAACTGAAAGACATACTTCTCAATGGAAAAACTTCATAACCTTCAAAAGTTGCATAAAGCCAAAAAATCGACGAGTTTATTATTAAAAACAGATGCTCAACATGAAGACTAACCAACACGTGAATGTATGATGTAAAATATTTCATTGCAAAAGTACATTTGAAATTCGTGTTTACAAATTAGGAGGCAAAGCAAATTATACTTACTACAAATAAAAATTACTATTTTATTATGTTACAGTGACAAAGCTACACAGCATTATCAAAAATAAATTTCAAAATAATAATTATAAAAACAATAATTAAAAAATTTTTTAAAAAATTCCAATTTTTTATGGTTTTGCTGGAAAAAGCAAAAGAATAAAATATTGGATGTAACTTGTTTGAAACAAGTTGATTTATAGTCTCATTTAATTTTCAGATATGTTTATTTTACACAAAATTAATCTTAAATTGTGTTGAATTTCTTATAAATTTTTTAAAAAAAGTTGACGAAATGTAGTAGAACAATAACAATACCAAATAAACGAACAACGAAGATTCCTTCAAAGATCTTTGGTTTCTTACGTTAAAAAAAATCAACGATAATATTTTCTCGACTTTTGATAATAATGTCAAAATATTCGTTAATTTTTCCTCCAAATTTATATGGGACCACGTTTTTCTTATATCTAAAGCAGTGTTGTGATAGATGATGAATATAATTGATTAAATGAGACTAAATGTAAAATAATAAAAAATAATGAATAATTATTAAAAGCTGTTTTATTTTTTCTGGAATTATATTTGGATAAACGAATATTATAATTGTGTGCAAATATTTTTTAATTTGCTTAAAGAGTTCTTGAGATATCGTGAAATACGCAAAAAATAAAATTAACAGTGTTGTTATTACTTATCTCCAAAGGTCTGACGGCGTTCTGATCCATAAATCCGTTGACTAGTAAAAAGTCGAAAACAAGGAGATGAGAAGTCCCAGGCAGCTTAAAATGATGGCATTTTGGGCAAAGAGGGTAGGATTTGATACCCTGAGAAAAAGTAAGACATTTTAGATGTCAACTGGCAACGCCAAAATTAACAGTGATCTAGCTTTAGACCTGATCTAGCTATATAGAAATCATATTTTTCAGTTTGCTGCAACTCCCTATATTTTTGGGGTTAGCAAGCCGCATCCGTCGAAGAAAAAAGGTGTGCTTATTGAGAGGATTTACGTTTTTGTGTCTGATTTCATAATTTAAAATATCGTTTACACTGATTAATAACACTTTATTGAGGTCACCAACTCGAGCCTTTCAGATTGATCGTGAAGATCCGATCATTAAATCAAAAGTTAATAAGGTTGGTCTGTTTTTCATTTTGCCCACAGTATAGTTAATCTTGATTTTGATGAGGTGAACTTCTAACTTTAATGGTAAATTTAATAGTATGAAGCCACACCGGAAAGAACATTAATAGAATATTAGGTGCATAGTAAGTCGTGTATTAGGTGCCATAAACGTGTAGTATGGTGATATTAGGGTACTTACCGTTTCGGAAGCAGAAAAAAAAATTCCACAGTTCTTCACTTTCTATATTAGACAATTATTCGAATAAGTACTGATATTAGTTCAACAAAAAATTATTTTAAACATATGTATTTATGTCGTTACTGATTAATTTGAGAATTACAATTGATAAATTTTGATAACAAGTAAAATTTGAGATAAAAACGTTTTTCATCAAAAAACTAAATAAAGATGAGATTCGTATATAAGAACCGTTGAAAATTTACTTATAGTTATTGGTGCCAATGATGCTTAGGTAATTTTCGTAACAAGTGAAAATTACAATAAAAAAGCTTTATTAATTAAGAAAGGGTAATCAAAGGGAAAGCCAAAAAAAAAAAAATTGCCACGTCATTATTGACGCCAATTCATTTTGGTGATTGTTACTTCTACTGGTAACTCATATTTTCAGTAGGTACTAAATATTCTACTAATTTTTACCAAGATATAGGTATTGAGGAAAATTTTTTCTCCGGCACACCGAAAGGATTACTTTAAAAAAAATTTATTATGGTAATTTTTGACTTATAGGAAGCAATAGTATAGCATGATGTCAAATGATACTGAATATGGTAAATATTTTTTTGATGGGATAAACTTATAAGAAACATGTTTTGCTTAATCTAATTACATGAAGCCACCGGGAAGGGCAACGGATAATAAGGAATCAAAATATTGGAGTTGTTTTAGCATAATAAATTATATTAATAATCCTCTTAGTTTTGCATATAATTTCGCAGTGTTTGATCAATACCGATTTATTGATTATTTACCTTTTTTCACCCTGCCTGAAGGACGGGTATTCACCATCATAGTTGACCAGACAGCCCAATGAGGGCCAATGCCTTCCACTGAAGATTTTTTCATATCGACTTCCGATTTATCTTTGATCTCTTATTCAAATTCTTTTCATTAATTGCAAGAAAATCAAGACTCCACCGAGTCAGTCCATCTCAACCGTGGCCTTCCCCGCTTTATTGTTCCGGTGGGTCTAAAAAGCAGTATATTTTTCTTGTATTGTCATCACTCATTCGAATCTCGTGGGCCATCCAATTCATTCTGTTTATTTTTATGTATTTAATATATATCGGGTTGTTTTTAAAACTTGTACAGTTTAAAGTTAAGAACGGGTATTCAGGCAGTATTAAAATTTTTTCTTTAACATTTTTAATGTTTGTTCAGTAATTTCTTTTTTTTCTTTTCTTCTTTTTTTTTAGTGCAAGCTTTAGAGTAAAGTTACATATTATCAAGATATTCAGCAAGTTTTGATACAAACAAGCTTTAAGATTGAGAAGTGAAGATAGAGGTAATTTTTTATTTCTTACTGGATAAAAAAAAACTTTAAGAAACTTCAACAGTGATGTCACTATGAAGCTCAGTACAATGAGACCATTATTCCCAATGAAGTTAAGTTAGTTTAAAATCACCAGATCTATGCTCTTAGCTCCAGACGATGGTATATAAATAAGATGGCGTATTAGTATTCTGAATATTACTGGCTAAGGTCGAATAAATTTTTCCCACTTAAGTTAGAGAGTTAATTACAATGAAGTTAATTAAATACACCGTCATATTGTTGAAGTATATTTTTTATTGTCTACGTCTTTTATTTAACCAACATTTAACAACAATTATATTATTTCCTTATGCATTTATTGTAACCTTGATTAATTTTTGTGTATTTATCACCTTTATTGCGTAATTAGTTTGTGATCTACATGGCTGCTTTAGTGTTAAAAAATATAACAAATCTTTCTTTGTGAAAGAATAGAGATAGAATGTGTTACTAAGAGAATTTATATTTAAGAGGTTTGGCTTACTCGAAATAGCGTAGAAAGAACAGTGGCTATAATCCGTTGCAAGTTAAGACCATTGCGGTATAGGATTTAAGTAATCATCTAAAACTGCATATAGTTATGTTTTATTTTGCAATCAAATTATAAAAATATGCTTATCAAATTATACAAATATATATTTGAAAATAATATAAAAGCTTCTAAAAGTCAAACACGTGAGACAGAAATTTAATTCGAACTATCTTACGATATATATCATAGAATTATTAAAAAAATTTTATAGTTTCGTAGTCTTTCTAGAATCATAAACTTTGCGATATATTTCGATAATTAAGAAGAAGATTCGTTCTTGAAAAAGAAACAAAGTATATTGTAACATGAAAAGAAACAGGATAGAAATTATTAATTACTCTGATTTATTGAACACATCTGATATACATAGAACAAGGTAACTGCATTTCTTCTTGAAACGCATGAACTTATGTACAAATTTACAGAAAAAGTCTCTAGAAATTTCTAGAAGACAATCGATTAATGAAAAAGAACTTAAACAACATATAGTGTGTACATTTCTTCCACCTGGGAGAACAGAACTCAGAACCTTTGCTTTGTCAAGGTAATGATTTATACTGTTTGGCTATATTCAGACATACATCATAACATCCTCCTTAGAAAAAACAGTGACCTCACTGTTTCATTTAATGAGACCTCTGAAAAGAGCTCTGGTGGTAAAACCTTGGTATTCTACCTTACTCTCGTTTTCAGATGGTAGGAGAGGTTCCTTTGATCTGTAATTTTCTTAATCTCCTAAATTTTCCGTTTCACATGGTTCTAATTAACATGATGGATCATACTATGGTTTCATGCGCACCACGTTGTCGATGTCTGCAGTTTTACGCTTTGATGAAGAAGTCTTCGACTTCACATGTAACCCCTGATAGTTTTCGTTTTATTCTGTAAGGTCCGAAATATTTTTTAAATAATTTTTCAGACAACCCTACCTTCCGAACAGGCTGAAAAATCCAAACAGGTTCTCTTGATGCGTAGGTGTCTGATCGCTGTTTTGCGTCGTATCGCTTTTTATCTTTTTCTTGTATATCGATTGTATGTAGACGAGCAAATTGCCTTGCTTCTTCTGCTTTATAAACAAGATGAGCTGCATAATTAGTTTCAAACCTAGGTTGATGAGAAAAGAGTATCTAAAGTTGTTTTAGTTTCATAACCATGGAGAATGTAAAAGGGCGTGAAGCCGGTACTTTCTTGTTACGCTGTGCTCTAGGCGAAGATAACGAAAGGTAAAATAATATCCCAATATTTTTATAGCCTGGTTGGTAGGGCACTGGGCCCATGTCCGAGAGTCCTCGCCTGACAAAAACTTCCCGTGTAGTAAATGGTGACTGATGCTCGTTAAATCTGTCGGGTCACACAGTCCTCCCTGTTCTCATAACAAATCCTACTTCTAGAATACTGATCCAGGAGTTTACTTGATTTTCGGGTTGATTCAAAATTGCAATGCTACGAAGTTGAACATTATTGATCGTGAACCCAAAATTGGGTCTTCTGTTCAACAAAGGTCTTAAAGGTATAAAATAAAATAGGGATGAGCAACCATTTTGAGTGAAGGGCCACATTCACAGCAGATTGACCAATGAAGGGCCGCATGCCCAAGTATTTAGACAGATGTATTGACAGCAATTGTAGGGAGTAATCGTTATATAAACACCACTGTTCTGGGCACTAAATTTTTTATGTCAGTTAACCTTGTAATATGTTTGCATAAAATTAAATACTTTTAAATGTTAAAATTAGAAACTGCAAAACTGATTACTTTGGAAAAAAAAGAGTCAGAAATAATTAAAAACTATGGGAAAATTCTTTTTTTTTTATCTTATCACATAATACAAAGATCAATTTAAATATACATTTTAACATTAATAAATTTGTTCATAGAATTAAATTTAAAAATAAATTAATATTTTAGTTATTACAATAATTGCAAGTTAAAAATGGTTAAAATTAAAACAAAAAAACATTGAACGGAAAATAAGATTTAACATTTAGTAGAAGGAATACACTTTAACTTTATAACATTTATTTTAAATTAATTATAAGAAGCAGGAGAGAGAGGAAAGAAAAGAAGAAAGAAGAAAAAAAGAAAGAAAACATTATTTTTGAAGAAACTATTTTCCTTAATAATAAAAAACCATTAAGATACTTGTTAACAACTTTTTATGACAAATAATTTTTTAACATTACACTATTTTCAATTAATAGACAAATATAATTAAGTAATAATTAAAATTTACATTACTTTACGAAGCTTATCTTGATTGCATTGTTTTACAGTTAAAGTTTAATACTGTGCAAATCATTTAGCACCGTAAGATCATATATGATATAAAATGGTCTAAGTTGGTAGAAAATGGTTTAAAAAATTTCTTATTGGTTTTCCTACAATTTGCAAAATTTTTACATATTTTGATAATTATATTTTCTTGATCATGTGATACTTTTTTCAAGCCATTAAGTGAACACTTAATGACTTTCTTTAAAGACTGCTCTGTAATTTTGAATTGGCCAAATTCATTCTGGAAAACAATCTTCCGACCGAAGCTGTTGTTGTGGGTAGTATTAAACGTAATCAGTTTTGGAATCTGGCCCAGATGGTGTTCTTCCCTTCCTGATTTTTAAATTGCATGAATACAAATAGCGATGTGTTATTTTTAAATTGCTTGAATACGAATTGCTATGTGTGATTTTTAAATTGCTCAAATAAAAAACGCGATGCGTGTGTTTCAAATCACGTAAATACGTATCGAAATGTGTGGTTTTTAAATTGCTAAAAGAGGACGCAAAACGTATGATTTTTAAAACGTGTGAAAATGAATCGCTGTATAAGATTTTTGAATTGCAAGAAGAGTAACAACGTACTATTTTTTGAACGCCAGAGCATGAATCGCAATATGTGATTTAATATCTCGTGAATACGAATCACGATGGATGATTTTTAAATATTTTTAATATTAATACGAAATGCGATGTGCAATTTTTAAATCGCGTAAACGCGTAAATTTTTAAATCGCGTAATAACGATGTGTGACTTTTAAATTGCGAGAAGAACCCTAATGTGTGATTTTTAAAACGCGTAAATACGAATTGCGATATGTGATTTTTAAATCATGTGACAACAAAAAGAATAGGTTGGGTGTGTGATGTTAAACTTGCACGCGTTCATGAGACTAAACAAATATACATGTGTTTTGAATTATATTTTGCAAAAGAAACCGCGTTTAATATAAATTTACACATCTCGCTTTTTTTTAATCTCTTCGGAAGGTGTTGGCTAAGATGCGCAATTGCTTTTTAAGATACAAAAGAAAAAAAAAACAGAATCGAATTTCGCGAGTTGTAATATTGTGTTGAAATGTCAGGATATTCAAAATCACAAGTAAAAAGGCAGCGAAAAACACAGTCAAAAAACCTGGCATATTTATGTTAAAATCGACATAAATCGAGCACATAAATAGCAATTATTTTAATGTGTGATTCAAAACACCCGTGATGTCAAACTATAGAATTAAAAATATCAGAACTTTTTAAAATCACGGGCAAAAGCATAGTAATAACTAATAAAAAATCCTTTTATATTTACGATGAAATCGGTGTAAATAAAGCGTCAAAAAGTAATGTATTTAAATGCGGGATTCGAAATATAAAACATCGCAATAGCATATAAAAAAGATCGGGACTTTCAAAACGTTGTAGAAATGAGTAGCAATAATTGTCAAAATAGCGATTGAAAAATAATTTGATTTATGATAAAGTCGGGATAAATAAACCAAGACAAGAAAAATTTTTTTTTATCAAAATGAGCCATTCTTTACTCGCGATTCGTAATAATATCGTACTAAAATATCGAAATTTTAAAAACCATTCGGAAATGCATAGAAATAACTGCCGAAAAAAAGGATTAAAAGTCATTTAGATTTGTCATGAAGTTTGCGCAAATAAAGCGTTCATAACTTTAAAAAATCAGGATTTCAGAAACTAAGAGAAAATAGGTAGCAATAACTACCGAATCGATGAAATTGGCATACACGAAAAGCGTCAAGAGTGATAACTAAAATTCGAAATTCGTGTATCATAATAATGACGAATTAAAAATATTGGGATTTTGAAAACTATGCTAAATGCGTAGCGTTAACTCTTGAAGAAAAGCGATAGCAGAACTACGTTGATTGAGATATTAAAGTGCATCAAAAACTTAAGTAATTACATTTTAAATTTCCGATTTTTTTTTTTTCCAAAAATTTTTTTCTTTCCATTTTCTTCAGATTGTTATCGCGGGCCTCACATCGTTGGCGGACCGCAAGTTGTGCACCCCTACGATACATCATCTATTTTTTTACTAGGCATTTCAATGACCTAGAAACGAGGTATCCGAAGCAACTATTATGTAACATTAATTGTGTATCTTCTGAACAGAATTTACTTTCTTTTAAAAACTGAAAAAAGTTCTCGGCAGACAATAATGCATCAACCCTTCGAGGGACTCAAAAAAATCAGGTCAGTTAAAGTAATCCAATGGGGGATTTTAAAGCTGGAACAATTTGAAGGCGAAACTTCCGTAATCTTGGGTACGATTATAAAGTGAACATTCCAATTAAAAGTGTTTGAAACATCAGAGAGCTGAGTTGTAATTTGAGATTTAATATTTATTAATCTATCTCCGATACCAGAAACCAGAACAGAAACACTTTGTTTTTTAATTCCAAGTGAGTTTGCAACCTCAGTCGTAATATACGAGATTTGACTGGCAGAGTCTGAAATGGAATTCTTTCCCTTAGCACAGTGTTTCCCAAAGTGTGGTACGCGTACCCCCAGGGGTACGGGAATAGTTTAGCGGGGGTATGCGTTCTTATGCGAAATATCTTGCAACAAACGAAAATTTCAAACATTTTTATTTAAAAACAAAGCTAGACATGAAAATTTACGATTACGTATTTTTCTATTGGTTATATTTTGTAGAGTTAACAGTTAATAATTAGTGGTGTCAACAGCCAGTTGTGATTTCTAACTTTAGTGCAATTTTTTTATAGTCAAAAATACATTCATTTTTTTATTAGTGGTACACAGCGTTACGAAAAATTTAGAAAGGGTACACAAAAGCCATAAGTTTCGGAAACACTGCCTTAGCAGAAATCAAATTAATTATAGCTGTGTTTATTAAAACATACTTCGAATTTCCATCTGTTGATTTAAAAAGAATGTTCTTTTTCTCCTCGCAAATTGAAGTCAATGAAAATGAGTTATTAATTGAAACCATGCCTGTGCATTTAACTTAAAAGAATCCAACATAACATCATGTGATTTAATTTAGGGCTCTGGTGAATTATTAATGATGCTCTGCTTCGAATGAGTGTTTATCTTTTCTCGATGCAAATTATTAGAAATTCGATGCTTAAGGAATTAGTACAATTAGCAACACTATGGCCTGATGAAAGACAGGAAATGCATAAGTTATATTTTTTCGCTAAAGAAAATCTTTCAGACACTGACAATTTTCTAAATTTTAAGCAATGATGAATTGAGTGATTTTGATTGCAAAGTATACTATAATGTGAAAATTTGCTAACGAAGTCTTAGAACGCAATGATGGATTAGAACTGCCAGTTGACCTTAGGTGAACATTTTTTGTAATAAAATAATTAGCTTTCTGTAACCCTTCAAGTTCACGAGTTCTTTCTTCTAAAGACGTCAAAAAGACTTATAGTTTAAGAACATTTGTTTTAAGTGATAGTTCGAATTCTTTTTCTGAATTTTGATCTATTTTCTGAAACAAGACATTAAGCAATAAAATACCCGATAAATCGTTTCTTTCAAACTGTAACAATTTTAGAGCTCGGAGATTTCCCTCTATATCATCGAGCAATAGTCTTAGCTGAGAAGAATTTTCATAAGCCTTCGGATAATTTATATTAGAAATATGAGCATCTACAATAATTCATTTATTCTGAAATCTCGCCTCAAGAGCAGAAAAAAAAGAGAGTCAAAAGTGTCTTACAAATTTCGATTAATTTCACATCGAGCGTCACATTTCACTTTGAGCGATGCTCTCAAATAAAATAGCTTTTTAATATCAGTTAATTGTTTATTTTGTCCAATGATGGGCATAAATTGGCTCTTAAAGTTTTGGAATTCTTGAACCTTTCCAGAAAAGGTTGGAGCGAAATTTCTGGTAGTCTATATTTAGTTAAATTACAGCTAATAAATTGATCATTGTTAATATTTGATGAAATGTTATTGGAGGATATTTCGATTTATGGCATTCAAATAGTAAGGATTTGACTTACCTCTAAATTTTCAGTTTAAATTATAAAAAAAATGCTTTCAAGTTGTTTGCTTTTTAGCTTGCCCTTAATTATTTTTAGAAACCAAATTTTTATCTTTTATTTTAATAATAAGGGAGAATTAAGTACCCTTTTCAGAATGCCCTTTTTTATTCTCCACTACTGTACTTTTTGCAAAAAAAAATCCATTTTTAAAAATAAAGTTTTGAATATTGAACATAATTTGGCAGAAAAATATAATTTAGAGAATACTAGTTAACAGCCAAAATATCTCATGTCATTGTTCACTACTTCTCGTATGACAGCTAAACTCGAAGGAATATTTTCTGCTTTTAGATTGATTTTACAATTTAACGAGAACGAAAAATGTGTTTTAATTATTATTAGTTAAAATTTGGGTTTAATATAAAAGAAAGTTTTAATTATACAGTAATCATATAATGAAATTATTTATTAAAAGAATGGGGAGGCAATATTGTAAATATCGGTCGTATAATATCGGTAAATATCATGTTCATTTTTATGTTGTTGTTGTCGCGTGCCACAAAGGCATGCGCTTCTTGTATTCGCGCATTCATTCATACATACAGCGTAATTTTGACCTGAAACAGATAACGATCTATCTCCATTTCAGTGATCCCAGAGGTATGATTTCTTATGGGAACATGGAGGACTTTGTGAAAAGACGGATTTAACGTGCACCAATCACCATACGGAAAATCTTCGGCAGGCGAGGATCAAACTCACGACCTCTAGGACATGGGCCCAACGCCCTACCTACCAGGCTATCCCGGCCCCGTTCATTCTTATATAATTACTAATTCAATTTAATGAGCAATTCTGCAAGACCATTAAAATCTTTAATTATAATCTTGAAATGAACAACAAATGCTTAAAAACAACGAAAGCAAATGCTTAAAATTCCTTATCTTTTTACCTTCACTTCAAAAGCAAAAAGTATAAAAAAGATAAAAGTTGATATTTTCGTGTACATTTTAAGACGTATAAAAAACTGATACATTGAAAAATAGAAATAACCGTACGACATTTTAGAGAAAATCTGGGCATTTCATTTCATTAATATATGGATGGTTGACTGAATGCAAGCAATAACACGCATCCTAATACCGGAAGAAATCTAGAAAACGTCCGGTGTATCCCTCCGCTTATGTTATCCTTATAACGCAATGTGTGAACAGGCTTTCAAAAGTTTCATTGTGACATGTGTTTGAATTTACGCGTAATTTTACCATTTATAACAGTTTTTTGTAATTTATAAATTCCAACAGGTTGTGAGAGTAAAAATAAATATTAGAAAATTGATATAAGAACGTAAATAAAGCATAAGGTTTGCCATGTTCTGAGTATTATCCCTTATTTGGCTATTAGTGTAAGAAATCACAGTTTGTTTTATTTTGGATAGCATCATAGTAGGATTGCAGAGTCTTCCAAATTAATTTCTTGTATGCTTATGTGAAATTTAAATTGTAAGTACGCGTTATAATGTTAACATTGGATGGTGCGCTAATCAAGCATAGGCGTAAAAGTCAATCGAAAGTAGTAACCCGGAAGCGTATTTACAAAGACTAAATGATACAGAGCACTTGGCGCGATATTAGGGATTGTCGCCAGATTTGTGGTAAACCCACAGATCCTCTTTCGATTGTTGCAACCCCGTACAGAATGCGTTGTTGTGTTTACATTTCAATTTAAGGTTAAGAAATCGTGAAAATGTGTACAATATTTCAACAGCAGTTTATAAATATTTTATCGTCTTCCGAAATGAAATCGACGAATTGTGATTAGCATAACAATACTTTAGTATCGAGCTGCAACAAAACGATTTGAGAGAATTATAATACAAGTTAATTTGTTAGTAAAATAGGCTTAGTTGTTAAGTTACCCCTCAAAAATCATGCAAAAAGAATTAGTTAAATTTAAAATAACAACTTAAGACAAATACAAATTATTAGAATATAAAAGAAAAATATTTGAAAATTTAAATTATTTTGATGCCGCCCTCTATTGACAGAAAAAGTAATCAATGTAAAAATAGACAAAATAAAAATTTACGAAATTTTGATTTATTACATAGTTGCTGAATAATTTTTGAATCAAATATTTAAAAAAAAAAATTAATGAAATAAGCCATGCGATTTAATAAACTACTAAGATTGAACAAGGTTAGATGTCACAAACTGTCAAACAAAAATAGCGAGCGACTAAAAGTGTCAACAACGGAACTAACCCAAACGCAAAGGTTTGTTCTATATACCTTTTCCTTACAGCGCAAGCGCAACTTTCTTTTTCGCACCAAAAATACTTAGATGTTTTTTATCGCGCCAAGTGCTCTGTATCATTGAGTCTTTGTAAATACGCAACCCGGAAGTCATACGACGAATTTCAACTCCTGGCGCCATCTGTGCTTAGCTTTCCACGGTCAACCATCTATACAATGCTTCTTGAAATTCCGTTCATTAACTTTGAAGATATTTATGTGTTAAATGATAAACTAAAATTAATCACATAACGCATTATACGTATTCATTTTACGTAAACTCGTTTCAATAACTTCATCATTATGCAATTCATTATACATTTAGAAGGCAGAAATATGACTGAAATAGCTATGCTCATAACCACACTTTTAGTTGCCGAAGGTATATTATAGTAGAAATTGCTCAAAAGAAAAAAATAAAAACGTAATTTTCATTCTCTATTTAAAAATAAAAAAAGTTTTCAACATTTTTCTTTTAAATTAAGCGTTGAATGTATAAATTTGAAAGAAGAGATGCATTTCTACATTTTTCGCTCTTTATTTGTTAACAGAAACTTTAATTAATTTTTAACTACATATTTGTTTTTTTAGGTCATTCAAGCTTGAAAGAGTCAATTGTGCCTAGAGAAATTTCTTCGACAGTTAAAATATGTGTAAAAAAAGAAAACGCAATTCTCAGCGTCCAGCTAAAAGCAAAGGAGTTAGCAGCTGTGCATCTGAGAGTGGTTCACTGGGCGAAGGTAATAATGAAGCATCTGAACAGCCAAAGCAAATTAATCACCAAATTGATAAATATGCTACTAACACTTCTGCTTGTGGCGTTAGTCAGGAAACCGAAGTTATGAAACACAGTACCGCAGCAGGGGAAACTGATAATCAGTCAATTGCATCGTCCTCCACTTCTCCTGCAATTTCAAATGATGAAATCGTTGATAAATCAAAATCAAATACTAAAATATTGCCTGATGTTTGTTTGAGTGTTCCGCAAAAAACAGATTCCCTGTATAATTGTGTTCCAGATACTATTCGTCTTTCTGAAAGTAATGAATGCATCGACAAACTTGTATCGTGTCAATATAGTAAGGAACTTTCTATCAACGATATACCACCAAATCTTGAAACAAATATTCTACAGTCTACTTCTAATTTTTCCAATCTTTTTAAGCAATTTGATCGACATGCTGTAAAAAAGGATAACTCCTCCTCGAGTACAACGTGCTACGTAGAGCAATCGGCGCCGGGTATTTTCTTGGAAAAACGTACCAATTTCCCAAGCACTTGTTCCGATAACCTGTCTTTAACAGATGAGTATAATTGCTCTGAAAATAATCCAAACGCCCCTATTTATTCATATGTATCTAAGGGTACTGGAGCAAGGGCACGAAAAGAACAATTAACTGAAAAATCAGGTGCTATTAGTTTATTATCTACTGAAAATATCTCTCAAACAGGTTGCAACATGAATGCGACAAAGGATGGTGAAAATCCCAGAGCTATAGTTTCGCCTGACACAATCACAAATTATAAGAAAACCAAGACTTTCAGAAAATGTGTATCACATTACGAATCAGTTAGCGCTGATGGTAAAGAATATATAAAAGAAGTGCCGAACAGTACTGGAATTGTATATCTGTGTCAATTTATCCTCAGGAGAGCTAATCCACAGTACAAATTGAATATATGTAATTTGGGCGATGAATGCATATTGGTAGCGAATAATGACAAATTTATTGCTAGAGTTGAAATATCGGCTAACTTACAGTTGAGCCAAATTTTCAAAGATGATAAACAGGAGTTTTTGAAACATATTATTATAACTAAAGTGTTAGAGGATGAATTAATGCTCAAGAGAAACGATGCGTACAACAACTTTCTTCAATTGTTAGAGCGAAGGAGTGCCAGTATTTCTAATAGTATTGAATGCGCAGATGATTTTCTACAGCTTTTATTAATGACCACACATTGCACATTAGCCATGAATAAACCTTTAATGTTCTTGAAAGGAATTCTTCAAGATGAACACATCTCTCAAGTAATAAAGAATAATGCTAAGTGCTTCGAGAGAATTGAAAATAAACTCTACTTTCGAAATGAACATTTTCCGAAGTTCAGTAGTGTTGCTAACCCGCGCATGAAAGATTTGTTAGCTCCAGTTCGAAATATTTGCGAAGCTGGAATATACAATCATAAGCAAAACTTAATTAAAAGCTGCCCTACGAAAAATTCGTATCTTCTTTGTCATATTCTTTCAATTAGAGATTTGCCCAAAGACAAAATACTATTTATAAACCGAGGAGATATTGAACTATTTTCTAATGCAGTTGCTGTTGCTCATGAAGAGAGCAATTTCGTCAACAAAGTAATTTCTCTAGAGTTTATAAAATACTTGTGGGACAAATTTTATTCTAAAGTACAAATGTTGTATCATAATTCAGTGAAAGAAATTGGACCTTTGACGCATCCTGTGTACTACTACCTTTTAAAAAGTTTCCGAGACATTGCATGTGAAATAGCTTCTAAGACAAATATAAAACCTCAGGAGCTACTCATAGAAGAAAACGGAAATTTCAGAATAAAAACTTCCATTCCCTGGTCTACCAAGTCAGCTGTTCACAAGTCCTTAGAGAAACAATACGAGTTATATTTTCAATTGTTGGAGCATTTCGAACCTGGTTCATATTCAAGTAAAAACAAATTCAAATATTCGTTTAAAATTCTAGATGGTGATAGGAGTTTCATTAAGTCTCTTAAAGAATTTTTTTTCGGGCAGGAAAATAGTTTTCAAAAGTTTTCTGAGGATCGCCTTGTGTGGTTGTATATTGTAGACTGTGGCACAGCTCCTTTATTGTGTGATAAGTCTAGCAACCAATTTAAAGAACTGTCATTGTATGTTCTCAAAGGCTTTATTAAATTTATTGAACAAGCTAAACAAGACCGTTATGAATCTTTTCGAATTGCTGCCCTTAATATAATCAAATTCATCATGCAATTATCTCCTTATTTTAATGATGTCAGTTCGATTTTAACTGACGCAGACCATAATATTTTAGATAAGCAAATGGAATTCATTAACTGCATTCTCAATTCAGACGAAACAAATGTTTTATCTGATTATTTTTCTGGCATAATGGATGTATATAATGAATATTGGAAGTTGCGAGAAACGATATTAGAAAATCTACCTGTTCCTTGCAGCATATTTAAAGATGACATGGAAGTAATTCTAGGAAAGATACTAAAACTTGTTGAAAGTGGTTTGTCAAAATGTGCTGAAGCGAAACTAGTAATCCGTTTCTTCAGATTTTATAATGAGTTTTTAAAACACATAAGAAGTATAGATTTTTCATGGCTGATATCAAAAACATGTTATACGGAAGATTTAAATAAAGTTGTGGAATGTATAATCAAAAGCGATGTCACATCATACGTTGTAAAGGACCCTGAGAGCTTCGTTCAAACTCTTGAAAGGAAAAAACTGAAAATCCCTCGGCATTTTCTAATCGAAACCATTAATAAATTATTAGATATCATAGATTTAGTTTACGAAAAGTTACATTGGAGTAACGAAAATTATTTAAATGCGATTGGCGATCTATTTCTCGCTATTGGGCATTCTTTTACTCATTTCGAGGACCAAGTTGATTATAATGATTTAGAACATTTTTTGAGAGATTGCACAGCTCCTTTTAAGGCGACAAGGGGCTTTCAAATTTTTTTTTTGAAATTATAAAGGGATTTGCTTGAAAATTTCAGGATACATTTATATTGCTAAAAACAACTTTTATACAAAATTTCAAAAAAATATTTCAAAATTTAAGAAATTAAAAAATTTAAATTTTTCAATTTTTTATGTTTTTTTAAATTACTCCTCGCGTCTGAAATTTTGTCAAAATGACAAAATCCTTTTAAAATATTACATATTAGATAATATTGAAAAAATTGTTGGAAGTACTTTTTTTATTTTTTATTATAGAAACAAATAACATTAAAAAAACAGTAAAAAACCTACATTTTTAGGAAAAAATCATGATACCTCTATAAAATATCATGTATAAAAAAAATACTATTCACTTAATTCAAAAAACTTTTCCAACAAAATGTTAATAATATTCATAAATATATAGCATTAAATTCTCAGGTCAATAGAATGAAAATTCATTACGCTGGAACAGTTTGAAATTTGTAAATTTGTCAAAAAAGACATTTTGAGAAAAATGAC